TTTTTGCATGCTTACAGTGCTACTAGGGCCTATAAGGCTCATCACGAATCTCACTGTTATGATCTAAACTGTTTATTTTGTGTAGATATTTCATAAAATAAAATAAAATTGATAAGATATTCATAATTATATTATTTTATTATATTTGTTTTAAAAATAAAATAATCTATTTTTAAAATTATACTTGTCTATTTTTTTAAAAATAAATATAGTGAAATCATATAGGTATAAATATCAAATCAAATTGATTGTTTTTAAGGATAATCCGCACATAAAATTTTACAAAATTAATAATTCATATCATCACCGCAAAACTGATGGTGAATGCCCTCAACTCCAACAAACACCACATAGTGGACTAGAGACAATCTTCTACTTTTTCAATTAGATCATCTAGTCTGTAAACAACGCTTTTTAGCCATATAGGCTTTTTACATATTATAATCTAGTCTAGTCTGTAAACAACACTTTCTAGCCATATAGGCTTTTTATATGTTCTAATTACTAACATGTTGAATATTCAAACTAATGCATTGCATTTGGAATAACTTTTCAAAACAAAATGGCCAAGGAGGGTATATCCATACAAAGCATATAGCTTGTCAATGAGAGAAATATGATTATACAATGAGTGATGGATCTTGGTGCAATGGTCATTGTAAAGACTTGATGATGCGAATTTTGACTGTCTTTTCTTATCACTTCATGCCAATTGAGTAGGAAGATAGTTCTTTACCTACTCATTTCTTTCTAGCTTGGCATTGTCTCCTCCAAAAATAAAATTCATTTCTTGACAATTGATTTCTTACCCACTTTCAGATTCTTGCCTACTTATAGTCATGAGTGCATTAGCATATATATTTATATATATATTGTATTTGTTAGGAAAAATATGAAAAGGTTCAATAAAACCCGAAATCCTACATATAGCAATTATGGAGAATATCCATAATTTCTCTGTAAAATACTGAAACTGAAAACAAAGAAAAAGTAGAGAAGAAAGAATGAGAAAATTCTAATTTATAGAGAGCTTATAGGGGTATTTATGAAAGTCACAATTTTTCATTTGAATAATATATTTTAAAAGACATGTCTATTTGTAAATAAACATATCTGTTGATGGTTAACAGGTAGAACAACCCTCATTAAGGCTGTCACTTCTGTTATGCCTGACCATCTTATGCAAACTATAGAACTCCCTAGGAAAGTTTGTGACCAAATTGACAAACTTAATAGAAATTTCCTATGGGGTAGTACTGAAGCTAGGAGAAAAGTCCATCTAGTGAACTGGCAGCAGGTCTGCAAAAGTAAGAAACATGGGGGTTTAGGTATTAGGCAAGCCAGAGCCCAAAATTCTGCCCTTCTCTCTAAGCTTGGTTGGAATATTGTTACTAACTCAAATGAGCTATGGTGTGAGGTCCTCAAAACAAAGTATCTAAAAACGCATTCCATATCCAACTGGCCCACTAGAAGACAAGCCTCTCATACCTGGAAAAGCATTATTAAAAACAAAGATGTCTTAGATAGAAATATTAAATGGGATATTGGGACTGGAGAGCAAGTCTCTCTATGGACTGACTGGTGGTGTGGAGAACAACCTCTAAGCATGACAATTCAGGGAGTCCACACTGGTGATATTACCAAAGTCAAATCCATCCTTGATGATGATGGTAACTGGGACCTTACTTCAATTCATAACCTGTTTCCTCAACAGACCTTAGATTCCATTCTTAGAATCCATAGACCTAGGTATGTGATCTACAATGACACTCCTCATTGGAAAAGCTCCCCCACTGGTAAGTATTCCACTGCAGCAACCTATCAAGCCTTATCTACCCAAGAATCTGATGGCACTAACTGGCAATGGATTTGGAAATTAAAAGCCCCTCACAAACTGAGAACGTTTCTCTGGCTTGTCATGCATGAAAGATTACTTACTAATAATATAAGACTCATCAGGAATCTATCAGACACAAATCTGTGCCCCATATGTCATTCATCCAGAGAAGACATGCAACATTTATTCAGAAGCTGCACAAAAGCTAAGGCCATTTGGCTGAATCTGCAGAATTTTACCTGGTGGCAACACAGCAACAGTGCTAACTTCAAGGTCTGGATTACAACCAATATCCAAAGCAAGGAACATCTTAACAATACTCATTGGTCTGTAGTTTTTTTGACAGCCCTATGGATCATCTAGAAAGAACGCAACAAAGAAGTGTTCGAGAATCTTACTCAACCTCCTCATACTAGTGTTAATACCATACTCCAGCTGGCTATGGAAACTCAGGAAGCTTTTCAAGCTATCCTCCACCCAAACTTTAAAGATCCTAAACTAATGCCCTGGTCTTATCCTATTGCAGGTCAGCTTAAACTCAACACAGATGGATGCTCCAAGGGGGATCCTAGCCAATCTGGTTTTGGTGGGTTGCTGCGAGATGAAATAAGTACCTGGGTTTGGGGCTATTATGGCTATTTAGGCAACTGTACAAGCCTTGAGGCTGAACTTTGGGACATATATAGAGGGCTCACCATAATCATGCAAAAAGGAATGGCTAACATCCAAATCGAAACTGACTCCCAACTGGCTATGGAACTCATCCGAGACGAAACTGGAGAGAACTCACCATATCGAGCACTTATTCAAGACGCAAACTTCATACTCAGAAGAGATCAATGCACTATTGCCACAATTTCCAAGGAAGCAAATCACAGTGCAGATGCTATGGCTAATCTTGGAGTGAATCAGCATGAACACCTCCTCTTTGTAGAAGATCCTCCTAGTTCTATTTTCTCTTTGTTAGCCACTGACATGATAAATGTTGGTTCAAGAAGGGATGCTACTATCCCAGGACTTTAGTGTTGTATTCTGTTTTTCTCTTCAGTTGAATAAAAAAAAAAAAAAAATGAAGAATTTAGTTCAAAAAAAAAAAAAAAAAAAAAAAAAAGTTACAACACCTACAATGATTTCTACTACTATGTGGAACACAATCTGTCCTACATATTTTGAGTTGGAATAAAATTATCACTGGTGGATTAGAGGTGCTTGTACACAAATTTCTATTTTTGCATGCTTACAGTGCTACTAGGGCCTATAAGGCTCATCACGAATCTCACTGTTATGATCTAAACTGTTTATTTTGTATAGATATTTCATAAAATAAAATAAAATTGATAAGATATTCATAATTATATTATTTTATTATATTTGTTTTAAAAATAAAATAATCTATTTTTAAAATTATACTTGTCTATTTTTTTAAAAATAAATATAGTGAAATCATATAGGTATAAATATCAAATCAAATTGATTGTTTTTAAGGATAATCCGCACATAAAATTTTGCAAAATTAATAATTCATATCATCACCACAAAACTTATGGTGAATGCCCTCAACTCCAACAAACACCACACAGTGGACTAGAGACAATCTTCTACTTTTTCAATTAGATCATCTAGTCTGTAAACAACGCTTTTTAGCCATATAGGCTTTTTACATATTATAATCTAGTCTAGTCTGTAAACAACACTTTCTAGCCATATAGGCTTTTTATATGTTCTAATTACTAACACGTTGAATATTCAAACTCATGCATTGCATTTGGAATAACTTTTCAAAACAAAATGGCCAAGGAGGGTATATCCATACAAAGCATATAGCTTGTCAATGAGAGAAATATGATTATACAATGAGTGATGGATCTTGGTGCAATGGTCATTGTAAAGACTTGATGATGCGAATTTTGACTGTCTTTTCTTATCACTTCATGCCAATTGAGTAGGAAGATAGTTCTTTACCTACTCATTTCTTTCTAGCTTGGCATTGTCTCCTCCAAAAATAAAATTCATTTCTTGACAATTGATTTCTTACCCACTTTCAGATTCTTGCCTACTTATAGTCATGAGTGCATTAGCATATATATTTATATATATATTGTATTTGTTAGGAAAAATATGAAAAGGTTCAATAAAACCTGAAATCCTACATATAGCAATTATGGAGAATATTCAAAATTTCTCTGTAAAATACTGAAACTGAAAACAAAGAAAAAGTAGAAAAGAAAGAATGAGAAAATTCTAATTTATAGAGCTTATAGGGGTATTTATGAAAGTCACAATTTTTCATTTGAATAATATATTTTAAAAGACATGTCTATTTGTAAATAAACATATCTGTTGATGGTTAACACTTAATTAACTCTTAACAATTATTTTATTTATGTTGTGTTTGGTTCGGAGAATTTGAGGAGAAATTTGAAAAGGCAAAGAGAAAATGTGTGTGAAATTAAGTAAAATGTAAGTATATTTTATCTATCTTTTCTATTTACCTTTCCAAATCTCTCCTCAAATCTTTCAACCAAACACAGCATTAAAGCGAAAATATTATGATGTCTCACCTATAATAATGTACCGTTTGTTTGGATAAAAAAAGTCTTCTAGAACATATATTCAGAAAAAAAAAATTCCATAAAAAAATGTTTTCTATTTGAAAATGTTTTCCGCTATTTTGTGTACCACATAAGAAAAATGATAAGCAAAATTAAAAAAGAATAAATATCCAAGCACATAAGAATTTAAGTAATACAGTTATAAGTCTATGTTCACAGACACAGAATGATGAAGTAATTCCACTATGAACATAAATATTACAGTGAACTGACTTTCTTTTTCGACAACTCACAAGATCATTTTAACCATATAAATACAAGGATCCAAAAGTAACAAACCGGGTTAAAATAGACCCAAATGCAAAAATCAGGTCAGTCAGGGTCACCAATGGGTAAGACATAATTTCCAGTCGAATTAGAGCCGCATCATCAACAGCTTTGTTTGCATGCACCATACATAGAAGAATGATTTACAATGAATACCCTTTTTGAACTGCTTTGAATTAACAATATGTTATAGTTTTTGTTACTTTGAAATGAAGGCAATCAATAATTTCAGACTCCTGTTCTGTCTTCGCCTTCAAAGTAATCATTCTACAAATTAAATATCCATTAAAAATAAAAAGAGTATGAAAGGAAAAACACCTGAGGAAGAAATGAATTTACAGAAAACAGAGCATGAAAGACCTCTCTGTAAAGCGGTGTTATTCAACACGCAAACGAGAAGATTATAAGTCCAGTTTTAAGATAACAAATTCTTTCCCCTCTCTATAGTCCCTTTTATACAACCAATTCCTATCCAATTTTTCCCTCTGAAATGTGCTCTGTTCAACCCTGTTCTGCACAGCCTGTCTGTCTAACTAACATAACAGAAAAAACTAATTGTAAAACAGCTTCCCTTCCTGTAGCCAGTCAGATGCTGCCATTTCATTACAAATGCCAGGGCAGATTTTTTTCACTTCTTCTTCCTTTATGGTTAGCATAATAGATTCATTTCCATGGTATGCTTAAGTGCACCCAACAAGGATTAGAGAATCCCAACAATATCATTATTCTTGGACTTGTAGCTTAGAATTCCAAAACACTTCTAAGAAAAATAATTCAAATAAAATCTTGGAAAATTTTCACTTTGTGCCCATGTACTTTACATCAAATCTCACTTTGCCTCCTGTCCTATTAATTCTTTCAATCAATCCCTGAATTTTAAATCAAGTTGCAATTGGACTCGGTCTAATAACTCTGTTTTGAAAACTAACGGAAGCACCAAAGTGAAATTTTGATAAAAGTATGAGTGATAAAGAGTAAAGAGGAGGGACTTAAATCTTGGGAGTGAGATTGGATGGAAAGCCTAGGGAGTTGACCGGGACAATAAAAAGGTCAGGAGTAAAGTGAGAATGGATGGAAAGTGTAAAGTCGCAAAGTAAAATTTTACCTAAAATCTTCAGACTTTCAGAAACTCAGGCCTAGAGTCATTGCAAAACAAGATCCACCAACTGATGATTACTTCTGCAAGTTGGACAAAGTATAAATTTCATATGATATTTCCAGAATTGACTTTGTATAATTTCTTCTACACACTCGAGAGTTCTTACACCAAAATTTGATTGAAAATAAACAGATCATGAAATGATAAAACCAAGCAATTTCTGGTATGCTAATTATGATCAGTACCAGAAAGTACTAGTAAACATTTCAGAAAATCTTCACCCAAAAAACTAAAGTTGTGTAAGTGTAACAATCGCCAAAAACCAAAGTTCATAAAACCAAAAACAAAAGCATATACTTACAAGACGGCATATGGTTAACGCGCACAGTTTATTCCCATAATAAGTTACGGGAAATTCTTAACTGCAGACATGACCATAATTTCAACTTCAACAATTAAAGTATCCTTCATTATGAAACTACTCCCTCTGTCATTTATATTACACAATTTCTCGAAGCTAAAGAATCCCCAATCACGAGTCGAGGCACAGAACCAGCATTGAGCTACAAGAGAAAAAAGTTCAATTGAAAGAAAGATTTTTGTGAAATAATACAAAAATTGAAACTAAAGAAAAAGGAGAGAAGGAAAAAAGAATCAATTCCAAAAAAAAATAAAAACAAAAAAATTCTAGTCATATGCATTATCATCCAATATAAATTCAGAAAAGGAATATACTGCTTACTTATTTTTTCGATGTGGCTACCGTTAATTTGGTCCTTTATCCGCAGCTTGAATTTTGCATAAACTTTCCAATTAAGAGGAAGTGCTTCATAATCAGCCACGGCTAGAAACAGAGATAGACTTTCACCTTCTGGTTTTGCATTTCCTCTGGGATAGAGCTCTAGCTTCCTGAAATAAGCTTCCCTTAGAAATTAAATATGAAGTATTTAAATGAGAGCAGCATAATTCGAATAAAAACATTAAAGATTCCCTACCACTTTCGCTCCCCGACTTTAAACTCATCAGAGCAGAGAAAAATATCAGTAATTGTTGAAAAATTATCAACCTTCCAAGTAAAAGTATTGTTCTTAGGTACTTTTATCATGGACATACACTCTCCTTTGCCAGCATATTCGATGACAAAAACCTCTGCTCCAAATATACAAGAGTCCTCAAGGAGGTACCCATTTGATGTGTCGTTGAAAGTGTCTAGAGAAAGTAATTGAGCAAAACCCCATTCAGTTTTCATCCTGTGAAAGCGCCTTATTTTTCCTTCTGCATCTGCATTAATGTGTACATTAAGGACGGACACGGACACGGACACGGACACGGCAAGGATACCACAATTTTTTTACTTTTACTTTTAATTTATTTGCAATGTGTATGTATATAAATTTAGGGCACAGGACGTAAGGGATATCAGTATATGTAGGTGTTTTTTTTTAATCACTTTTTCCCCCTTTTGTTTCCATATATTTTACTTTGACCCCAAATCAAGTTTCTAAAATTATTAAAAGAAAACCCACAAAGGTATAGCGAGGCATGTCCATCCATGAAGTGTTCCCAACGTGTCATACAAAAAACAATAATAATTAAAAAAATTGTCACGCCACGTAGAGTGTCCAACACATGGACACACATGTTTGTGGGGTGTTGGTATCTGATGTGTCAGACAAGGACATGGCACCCATTTTTGAGTGTACAATCTTTCTAGTGTGTATGAGACCAAATACTATATCACGATAAAAGATTGCTAGCTAAGTTTTGAAGAAATTAACTACCTTGGATGGTTAGATACTTGTCCCGTATGTGATCAAAGACAAATAATTTGAACTGGACATTAACCTCCCAACCATGAGGAAGATTGTCTGTATCCTTTATAACCAGGTAGAGCGAGATGTGATCTTTCCCGTTTCCTTTATTGTTTCCATTTGGATAGAGGCACAATTCCCTGAAACCCATTTTTATGGTAATATTTATTCTGAAGTTGAGAGCCAAAAAAGTACGGAAAATTATAGTAGCGATTTCAAACATACCACTTATAACCACCAGCTTGAAAATCATCTGACTCGTATTTTTCAATTTTTTCTTCTAAAAGTATTGAGAAGGACTCAATTTTGAATAGGTAGTGAGCTGGTCGAAGATCTCTCACTGATCTTGAAACTTCTGCAATACAATCAAAGGCTCAAAGCATTTCCACAACATCACTGCAGCTCATTAAATATAAACTTGTATTGAAAATATATGTCATTACTGGAGGGCTTGTTTGTGTAATATAATCTCAATGTGGAATAAGATCTTCCACCATATTTTGACATGGTCCAGGAAGCAAAGAAATGGATATGGACATGGGTCACAATGATTTAAAAATATTAGGACACGGTCAGCGGGGAAACAACCAAAAAAAGTATTAAATTCATAAGCAATCAAAATATTAAATTCATAAGCAATCAAAATTAATGCAAACTAACACTAATTTAACATTTAAATAAATAAAAAAACTAAATTTAGAGCCATGTTGTGTTTGGCTTCAGGGATTATTAGAAGCTAGTTTATATCCTTTAGGCCCCGTTTGTTTTGGGTTATAGGGCATTGAGATTCATAGTGAGTTGGAACCAACTAATATCATGTTTGTTTTGAGAGATGGAGAGGGGATTCGTAATCCCTTCCGGACTAAAAATCCCCTTGGGCAGGGGATTAGGATAGGCCCGTGAGACTTGGTATTAGAAATTAGTCTGCCGGTCTTTTTATTTTTTATTTTTTACATCTTGGGCATTTTTTTTTTGAACATTAATGTTTAATTTTTTTTATATTTTTTGTTAAGTAAAAATCATTGTTTTATTTTTTTCTAGAAATTTTTTATTTTTTACATGTTGGGTATTTTTTTTTTTTGAACATTAATGTTTAATATTTTTTTATTTTTTTATTTGTTTTATTATTTTATATAAAAATAATTTGCCAATCCCTATACCAAGTTACCAACAGCTAGCAGCAAAATAAACACAATTTTACTTAATCTCCTCACTATCAATTCCTTCACCAACAATCCTCTCACTATGAATCCTCCTTCATTTTATCTCTAAAAACAACCGGGGCCTTACAACTGTGGATAGATATGCATTACGTTGTCAACTGTTTGATATGAGTTCATTTTTTTATTTTTAAACTCAACCCTCATGCTTCCAAAGATTATAAATATGACACCCAAAATTAGCTTTGAAAATTAAAAAACAAAAAAAAAAAGGCCGGTCCCGCCATGTCCCCTTATGTCTCTTGAGAAAAATTATTAAAATATGGACGCGTGGCATGTCTCTGCTGTGTCCGTATCCCATAGTGTCCAACATGGCTATGTAGGACGCCTATTTTCAAGTGTCGGTGTTTCAGGACACAGTAATTAATACCTCAAAGGGTTGGGGGGTTTTGTGTGAGAAGGATGTGATCATATGATGATGATGAAAAGCATGTATATAAAGTGAAAAGAGAGATGATAATGCTTCATATACCTGCTAAACCATCATTGCAAGGCTTCTTTTCCATGACTTGTTCGCTCTGTGCTGAAATTGTTTGCTACAATAACAGATCAATCAAACGGAAGCATTGTTATTTCCTCAAGATTGCAGCTTATGCATTAATACTAGGAGAGGCTAGTAGGCTAGGGATCACACATACAATATAGATTCTAGGGCAAGCAAGAAAACAAGATTGTGAACAAAAAGCAAAAACCAAATTAAATGGCATTAGCAGCTACAAAAAAAATGTTCATTTAACAGAACCCAAAGTGGGATTGATTGTAGCTAGATCAGGTATTCCCCAAAAAGTTTCAACAGAGAAAAGAACAAAGATAACCCTTCAAAAAAACTATCAAAGCATCAATTTAAGCATTACAATTTGAACTCCAATGACTGAAATCTCTTCAACTTAAAAGTTTGCTCATCATGTTCCTGCCAAACACAAAAACAGAGGCAAAGTGGCACAACTCTCTTAAAACACACCTAGATCTCCTATAAACCTTCCCTAGTTGATCCTAACCCAAGCCTTCACCACATGTATCAATGATCAATTATCTACGAAATCTAGACCCCATAAAAACAAGGACTAACCTTAAAATTGAAGCGAATGAGCAAAGCAACAAGATTTGATTAACCTTTTCCTCCACTCTCTCATACATACACCATGGCTGTTAATATATGCTGTTAATATGTTAATATATATATAATATACATTATAGAATGCTTGCTTTCGGTTCTGTAAAGGAAAGGAACCCACCTATATGCTGTAAAGAAATGTACAGGAACCACACCACACACACCTTCATCATTATACTTCATAATGCTTTCGGTGCTCTTCTCTATAAATGAGAATCATCACCCTTGTAACCACGGTACAGTTGAATATACATTCTTTCAGTCTCTCTTTTTTTCTCTCTCTCTACCAGATTTACACGGTATCAGAGCCCAGTTATACATTTCTGGCAATTTTCGATTTTGGTGCTTAGTCCCGTACACAGTGGCACTACACCAAACAGCTCGGAATCTCATCACGATTCCAACGGCACCACATCCGTCATCAGAAACGCCGTCACGCGCCCCTACGCGCCGCCTTTGTGCTCGGCGCGTCTCAGCTTCCGCCACCACTCTCACACGCGCCTTCACGCGCCCTCTGTTGCTGCTCACTTCAGCGTCTGATGTCAGCCCTGCTTTTTGCGTGCGCCGCGCCTGTTACTGTGCGCCTCACGTGCGCCGCTCCACTATTGTGCTCCCGCGTGCGCCAAACCTGCTCCCGTGCGCCGCGCTTGCGCCACTCCGCTACTGTGCACCCGCGTGCGCCAAACCTGCTCTCATGCGCCGCTCATACGCCAGTCCGCTACCGTGCGCCGCACGCCTTCCTGCTATCGTGCTCCTCACTGCCCTCTGCTAACGTGCGCCGCTAACATCATTTTAACCTCTGTTGACGTCATTTGTGCCCAGCACACCTTTCCTAGCTATTTTCGACCTTCCGGACTCACTGGTACACTCTGTTTTACCTAATTTTGCTTCTACAGGTCCGCTCTTATTTATTTCGCCCTACTCACCTATTATTATAGATCGTCATGATACCTCCCATCCCATTTCTGTTATTCTTAATGGTTCCAACTATGTTCTGTGGGCCCAAGCCATGTCTTCCTTCCTCAAAAGAAAGAAGCTCTGGCACATTATCACCGGGGATGTGACCCAACCGGTGAAAGACACTAATGAAACTACTGGTATTGCTACTGCTACTGCTACTGCTACAGCTACATATGAAGACCGACTTGAGGAATGAAACAGTAAGAACTACCAGATCATTACCTGATTTCAAAATACCTCTGTTACCTCTATCAGTCTTTAGTTTGGTCGTTTTCAGCTTGACTTTGTAACTACTCCTGCAAAAGACATGTGGGATTTTTTGAAAGAACGATGCCAGACTACCGGTCTTGTCCATCAATATCAACTTCAGAGCCAACTTCACCACATGCGCCAAAAATCCAGTCAGTCCATTAATGACTTTCTTTCTCAAATGTATTCTGTTTGGGACCAGCTTGTTCTGTTAGAACCAACTTGGCCTCACCGAGAAGATGCTGTTTTATTTACTATCTATCGTAATCAGCAGAGGTTGGTACACTTTCTCATGGCTCTCACTTCCTCTTTTGAGCCCATACGTGCCTCTCTTCTTCATCGCCATCCATTGCCCACTCTTGAACAAGCTATTTCTGAGCTACTATCAGAGGAGACTCGTCTTGGTACTCTCCAAACTCATCATGTGGACTCTGTTCTTGCCACTCCTCAGTACCGGCCATCATTTACCCAGCGGACCACTGCCTGCCTCTATTGTCAGAATCGGGGCCTTCCTTCAACACATCTCTTGGTCAATTGCCCTGTCAGATCCTGCCGATACTGCAACAAACTTGGTCCTGGTCATCTGCAACAGGATTGTTTTCGCAATCCATCCCGATCATCCTCCACTAGCCACTCCTCTCGCGGTGGTTCTTCCCGGGGGAGCTCTCATCGTTCCGGGAATCAGTCTCATCACACTGCTGCTGCTGCTGCTGCCTCTGACGGTTTCTTTGAGTCACCTGCTCCGTCTACCCCTCTATTTTCACAAACGGATGTAGAGGCCATGTTCAAACACCTTCTCTCCCCTTTTGGTACACCTCCTCCTACTGCTTTGTCTGTGATCCCAGGTAACTCTTCTTAGTATTTTGACTCTACCTGTTGTAATCATATGATCTCCAGTTCTACTATATTTTCTTTCATCTCTTCATCTACTCATATTCCCTCAATTCATACTGCTGATGGTTCTCTCATGTCTGTCCGTCATGTTGGTACTGTTTCCACATTTTCTTTATCTTTACCTCAAGTTTATCATATCCCTACTCTCACCTTAAACCTTATTTCTATTGATTAATTATGTGAACTTAGTCTAACTGTCACATTTTCTGCTACTGATTGTTTGGTGCAGGACCCTCAGATGGGGCAGACTATTGGGATCAGCCGTAAGCACGGACGTCTGTATGAACTCATTCACCTTCATGTTCCTGACTCTCCTCAGATCGCTGCTCCTTCATCTGCTTTCTCATTATCTCCTTTTTATCTTTGGCATTGTCGCTTAGGGCATATTTCTGTTAATCGCTTAAAGTCTTTGGTTTCTAATGAACAATTGGGTCATGTAATTCTAGATAATTTCGATTGTATATCCTGTCAACTTGCCAAACAACCTGCTTTATCATTCAATAAAAGTACTTCTGTTTTCTATGAACCTTTTGATCTTATCCATTCGGACATTTGGGACCCCTCCCCTACTTCTACTATGGGGGAATCTCGCTATTTTGTTGTTTTTATTGATGATTTTTCCTAGTTTACTTGGCTTTTTCTCATGAAAACTCGGTCTGAACTTAAACACCTTTATTATAGATTTGCCCAAATGGTCCACACCCAATTTTCAAAAACCATCAAACTTTTTCGATCTGACAATGCTATGGAATATTAGGATTCAGATTTCCTTTCTTTTCTTCAGAGTCATGGTACACTACCTCATCGTTCCTGTGCTGGCACATCCAACAAAAGGGCCGTGCTGAACGGAAACATAGGCATATTCTTGACACTACTCATGCTCTCCTTCTCTCTTCTTCCTGCCCTGAAAACTTTTGGAGGGAAGCTGCCCTCACTGCTGTCTACACCATCAATTGTGCTCCTACCCCTGTCATCCATAATCAAACTCCCTTTGAACGTCTGCATGGCACTCCCCTTCCATACACCAATCTTCGGGTTTTTGGCTCTGCCTACTTTGTTCTGCTTCAATCCCATGAACACACCAAGCTTGAACCTCGTTCTCGTCTTTGTTGCTTTCTTGGGTATGAAATTGAACATAAAGGCTTTCGCTGTTGGGATCCTCTCTCTAAACGTCTCCGTATCTCCCGACATGTCGTTTTCTGGGAGCACAAAATGTTTTCCTCCCTATCCTCCTTTCATTTAACTGCACTTTCCACTAATGTACTGTTTACTAATGCTTCCATAGATCTCTTCTCTGATGATTTTGATACAGGTTCCTCCTTCATCGAGACGCCCTTGTTCACTCCTGATCCCGTCCAGACTGCTTTCCCTGAAGGTCCACCTCTCATTACACCACCTCCTTCTCCCCCGGTTCTTCCTCCTACCGATCCTCCTACGGGTCGACCACACCAGGTAACTCAACCTCCTATCCATCTTCGTGATTATATTGTTGGGTCTGCTGCCTTTTCTACTTATGAACCTACCTCCTATCGTGAGGCTTACTAGTCCTCTTTGGCAGCAAGTTATGACTGATGAACTCCAGGCTTTGGACAAAACTCATCTTTGGGATCTTGTTGATCTTCCTTCTAGCAAGACTGCGATTGGCTACAAATGGGTTTACAAAATCAAGGCTCATTCTGATGGCTCTCTTGAACGCTACAAAGCTCGTCTTGTTGCCAAGGGTTTTAACTAGGAATATGGTATTGATTATGAGGAGACTTCTCCCCTGTTGCTCGGCTTACCTCTGTTCACAATTTACTTGTTGTTGCTGTTGCTCGCCACTAGGAGCTCTTTCAGATGGATGTCAAAAATGCTTTCCTCAATGGTAATCTTCTTGAGGAGGTTTACATGCAACCTCCACCTGAGTCCACTTTTCCACCTCATAAGGTTTGCAAACTACAGCGTGCCCTCTATGGCCTCAAGCAAGCGCCCCAAGCTTGGTTTGCTAAGTTTAGTTCTACCATTCATGACTTCGGGTTCACCTCTAGCTCTTATAACTCTGCTCTATTTATACGAACTACTCCTCATGGTACCACTCTTCTCCTTCTGTATGTGGATGATATGATTATCACTGGTAATGATGCAACTGGTATTCTCCACCTCAAACGTTTTCTCCACCGTCAGTTTGAGATGAAGGACCTTGGTACTCTTAACTACTTCTCAGGCCTTGAAGTCTCTCATGATTCTACTAGTTCCTATTTGTCCCAGGCCAAATATACATCCGATCTTTTGGCTCGTGCTGGTCTTACCGATTGCAAAACTACCTCTACTCCAGTTGATCCTCAAATTCGTCTCACTCCTCTCGATGGGGATCTCCTCTCTAAATGTTACTCTTTATCGCCAGCTCGTCGAAAGTTTTGTCTATCTCACAGTGACTCGTCCTGACATTGCCTATACTGTTCACATTGTCAGTCAGTACATGTCGGCTCCTCACACTCCCCACTATACTGCTCTACTCCGCATCCTTCGCTACCTCAAAGGCACTCTGTTCCATGGCCTTCACTACTCTGCTTCCTCCTCTCTTGAACTGCGTGCCTTTTCTGATACTGATTGGCCTGGAGATCTTACGAATTGACGCTCCACCACGGGATTCTGTTTCTTCTTAAGGGATTTTCTTCTTACTTGGCGTAGCAAAAAACAATCCCCCACTGCCTGCTCTAGTACCGAAGCTGAATACCGAGCTCTTGTTGATATTACTCAAGAACTTCTCTCGCTTCGCTGGCTCCTTGTTGATATGGGTGTTTCTTCTTCTGGCCCTACCTCTCTCTATTGTGACAATCAGAGTGCCATTCAGATTGCTCACAATGATGTTTTTCATGATCGCACCAAGCATATTGAGATTGATTGTCATTTCATTTGCCAGCATGCTACCCGTGGTACTGTTCATCTTCTCCCTATTGCTTCTGCCGATCAACCTACTGATATTTTCACCAAGGCTCATCCTCCTGGACGCTTCAGTGATCTTGTTTCCCAACTCAACTTGGTGAATGCCTACCCTCCTTAAGTTTGCTGGGGGCTGTTAATATATATGTAATATACATTATAGAATGCTTGCTTTCGGTGCTGTAAAGGAAAGGAACCCACCTATATGCTATAAAGAAATGTACAGGAACCACACCACACACACCTTCATCATTATACTTCATAATGCTTTCGGTGCTCTTCTCTATAAATGAGAATCATCACCTTTGTAACCATGGTACAGCTGAATATACATTCATTCAGTCTCTCTCTTTTTCTCTCTCTCTCTCTACCAGATTTACAGGCCAGTATATCCTCTATAGTCTATATAAAATTAATTAGTGTTAGAAGTCCAAAAGCATAGTGTATACTTTTAAAGTCTGAAAAAAACAAGAAGTTATTCATAGTGCAATATTAAAGTGGGAAAGGATCTATTTTTTAACTTTACCACTTTAGAAGAAACAACCCATTTTCTTGGGTTGACTATAATAAAATTGTAATATCTTTGCTTATTGATTCATTTATTTTCCTAACAATGATCTGATGCCGTTTATCATAAACCGGGAGCAAATCAAATACAATTTCAAATGTGGAGATCTCTAAAATAGTTTGGAAAATATGAGTTTGTAGGAGTAACTTGTATGCTTTTAACATGTCTTCTTTGCATCTCCAAATAGAGAATTTTCTTTACCTTTTAATGCAAATATGAACAATAATAGAGCCAAAGTGGCTCTATACAAGTCCATAGAATTGTCAATGGTGAGTTATGAGAACACAACGCCACCAATTTTCTTGGATGACTCAAGGGTAGTGGTGTGGAGATCACATTAAAGACTTGAAAAAGAAGTGATGTCTTGCCCACTTGTTTTCCCTTATTTCTCTTCCTCAATCTTCTTAGTGACCAAACCAAACCATGCTTAATGTCTACTAAATTTATCTCCTTTGCATCAAAACTATAAAATGGCAAAGCATCCACCACAAACCAAAAAAAAAAAAAAAAAAGAAAAAGGGTTTTAAAAAAAAAAAAAAAAAACAGAAAAAAGTGAGAGAAGATGTACCTGACACTCAGTGCAATGAAAATTGAGAGATGGTGAGGTTCTTGATGTTAAACTCCAGATAGATTTGGTGTCAAAGGTTGCATTAGTTAGGGTTTTTTTTTGGGGGGGGGGGGGGGGGGGCTCTCTTTGCGTTCTCTCTCTGTTTGAAGGGCTAAAATGCGGCCAAAAAAATATGAGAGGACTGGAGCTGCCTTTTTAGTTTTTAAAAATTATTTGTTGAAAATATAAAAAAATAAAATAAAAACACATCAGGTCTTGTTTCAGATGTGAATTGATTTTTTTTTTTTTTTTTTTGGCTCTTTTACTTTTTAATCATTTTAATTTAGAGTTAAAAATCTTTATTGGAATTTTTTTTTGATTTTTATAAAAGAAAAAATAAAATAATTACGATTTGAATGAGATATTTTGTTTTATTAACTTTTTAATCCTTTTTTTTTTTTTTTTGACTATCTTAGCCTAAAAATTCGTGCCAAACATAACCTATTTATATATGATTTTGTTCTTTGAATATGAAATAATTTTAAAATATTTTTATTTTTATTTATTAATTTAAAATTCAACCAAACCAAGTGAGATTGCCAAACACTAATTGGTTTTTGGCTTAATGAAAATCTTTAGGGTCGTTTGATAACCATTTCGTTTTCAGTTTTCAATTTATATTTATAAAAATTTTAAAAACTGTGAATAAAACTATTTAATAATTTTTAATTTATAAAAAGTTGTCTCAATTGATAAATTTAAGAAAAAAAACATAAACTCAGGGAGCAAAAGAGCTCACTCTTTGCGCTCTCTCTCTCTTTGAAGGGCTAAAGTGCGGCCAAAAAAATATGAGAGACTGGAGCTGCCTTTTTAGTTTTTTAAAATTATTTGTTGAAAATATAAAAAAAATAAAATAAAAACACATCAGGTCTTGTTTGCGATGTGAATTGATTTTTTTTTTTGGCTCTTTTACTTTTTAATCATTTTAATTTAGAGTTAAAAATCTTTATTTGGAATTTTTTTTTGATTTTTATAAAAGAAAAAATAAAATAATTACGATTTGAATGAGATATGTTGTTTTATTAACTTTTTAATCCTTTTTTTTTTTACTTTTTAACTATCTAGCCTAAAAAATTCATGCCAAACATAACCTATTTATATATGATTTTTTGTTTTTTGAATATGAAATAATTTTTAAAAATATTTTTTATTTTTATTTATTAATTTTAAAATTCAACCAAACCAAGTGAGATTGCCGAACACTAATTGGTTTTTGGCTTAATGAAAATCTTTAGGGCTGTTTGGTAACCATTTCGTTTTTAGCTTTCAGTTTATATTTACAAAAATTTTAAAAATTGTGATAAAAACTTGTTTGATAATTTTTTTTGTTTATAAATGGTTGTCTCAGTTTATAAATTTGAGGAAAAAAACGAAAACTCAAAAAATGAGTTTACGTTTTCAGTTTTCAATTTTTTTTTCAATTAATTTTTTCTTCAAATAATTTTTTTTTCAATTTTTTTTCAATTAATCTTTTTTCAAATATTTTTTTCCAATTAAATTTTTTTTCATTTTTTTCAAATATTTTTTTTCATTTATTTTTTAATTAGTTTTTTTCATTCTTTTTCAATTAATTTTTTTTTCAATTAGTTTATATTTTTAAAATTTTTTAAACATTTTGTTCAAACCAAACACGTTTGTAATTTGTTTTTTTCTAAAAATAAACAAAAACTAATTTATAAAATTTTTGTAAACATAAACAAAAAATGTAAACGTTACCAAATGTTACCTTAGTAATTAAGTAAATAATTTTTTTTTTATTTTTTAAATATTTTGTTCAAACCAAACACGTTTGTAATTTATTTTTTTCTAAAAATAAACAAAAACCAATTTATAAAATTTTTGTAAACATAAACTAAAAACGTAAACGTTACCAAATGTTACCTTCGTAATTAAGTAAATAAATTTTCTTTTCTTTTTTTTGGCTCTAATCGTTGTTTTTAATATAAACATGTTTAGTATATATTTATTTATTTTGCTTTTAAATGTAAAATGACTATTTTGCCCTTCATAAGCAACCAATGGTATGGAACATTCAAAACAATTTTTACTATTTTTTAGAGTAAAATAATTCCCATTAAAAAAAATGAATAAAATGATAAATTAAATCCTTTTAGTTAAGTGGTTTAAAAAAAAGGCAAAACACGGATCTTATTATTATTATTTTTCATAGATAATACATACAAAGAGTTTTATAAAATTAATAATTCAGATCATTAAAATTAAATTCATGATAAATTTTACGAGCCTCTCAAATTCTTTTAAATGAGACGTCAAACCTAATATTAAAATACTTGTTTTTGCAATTAATTTTAAAATTTCCATTATTGCTGTATTTATTTTTAATTCTTCACGTTTTTATAAATTTATTTATCGGTAATGCTACATGTACCAATTGATATATTAATTAATGTATCAATATATATTATGACATTATTACTTTAAAAATATGACCTCACCCATTATATAAATTATAAATATTTAAAATCTCTAAAATTATATCACATTATCTTAGTATGCTAATTGATATTTATATAACTAATACTATATGTACCAATTAGTGCACTAATTAGTGTACCAATTGATAATGTGACGTAATTTAAAATATTTTTTATATTTATAATTTATATAATAAGTAGAGTCAATAATAATGTTATAACTAGTGTACTAACACTAGTTAATACACTAATTGATACATGTAATACCACTCTATTTATATATAGTGGGGTGCTTTGGCAAGGAAGTAAAAAGTCAACTTTTAACTTTTTACTCATTTTGAATCATATCACTTCTCATATTTTTTATCCATTAAAAAACAAAATAAATTCAAAAATTCAAAAAATTAACTTTTTACCTCTTTCTAAAAAAAAAAAACCATATTATATGAACTCCTTAGGGGTTAAGGAAGAGTTTCATTGGGGGAAAGGAAACCGAGTGGCCCACCACGTGAGTTGGGACCTCGTCGTGGTTACCAGCAGTGATCAGGCTTCGTGAATACAAATACAAATACGATCCGTAAGTATTTGTACAAGTATCAGTGATGCACGTAAAGTGTTAACATAAAAGTAACGGTAAATTACAAACATACTTTTTAAATTTACTTAAATTATAAATTATTTTTATGATTCTAAAAATTATATTATAATTTTTAATTTCATAATAAATAGGTCATTTTATTAATAAATTATCAAATTAATTAACAGTTTTTAATACTATTAAAATTTTATTTCAATTAATAATTTAGATAATTTTATTATTATATAGGTGAACAGTTAGAAATTTCACTTTTTCAATTAATTCTATTAAATAAAAAATTCTAACAGGAATGTATTTATAATTTTTCAAACCACAAGAACAATTGGTATTTTAAACAAATCTTAGGGGGGTGTATTTCTAATTTACCCTAAAAGTAAATAATGTAAAGAAATTCTATAATGTAATATAACATCAAATGAGGGAAATATAAAATAAATAAATTTGATGATTGTTAATATGAAACAATATTTTTGACAATATGGGCAGTGGCGGAGCTAAGAATTTAATATAGGAGGCGCCTATTAATTATAATCTCAAAAATTTTCTTCCCTAATCACTAACAATAACATAATAATAATTTTTCGAGCTAATATTAAACATTAAAAATTAATATTCATTACAAAAAAAATTTAATTTAAACTTTTACAATTGATCCCAATGAGTTTTCATCTTTTGAAATCTTTTCATGATAGTATCATTGTCAATACCATCAAAAATGTCTTTCTTAATGTAGACAACCAAGCTATCATATATTCATTCATCACCCATTCGGTTCCGCAACCAATTCTTCACAATATTCATAGCTGAAAATGCTCTCTCAACAATAGCAGTTGCAACAAGTAAGATTAATACTAAAGTTAAGAGCAAATACACCAATGTATATACTTTGTCTCTTCTAGTCTCTATCATTTTCTTAGCAAGATCAGCAATTCCATTTAACATTGAGAACTCACTACTGGATAACATATCGATAATGTATGTATCAAGTTGTTCATTAAGTACCATGAGCTCCACTGAAGAAAATTCTTTGGAATAAAATTCAGCAAGATAAATTAACTTTTTCCTGTCAAAACTAGAGAAAGAGTTAGATGGATTCAAACATACCCCACAAAGTAACAATTTAGTGTTCGATTCAGTGAAACAAGCATTTAGTTCTTGAATTTGCATATCCAAAACAGTGTAGAATAATTTAGCGCAATAATGATGTAAGTTTGTAATTTCATAAGCATTACGCATTTTTCTCCCTCAAGCTACAAACATATCATCCATTTGGGGAACATCAATTTCATGTTTTTCACAAAAAAAAACAAAATATCATCAAGTAAAGATATCCACCCACTCTCCCTCGTCTTTTAGAGCCGTACTTTAGAAATTTGAACTAAATTCATGGCATTAATAATATTTTGATCTTTCGTTTGTAGTGCTTGTGATAACTTACTTGTAATAGCCAATATCGTTTTTATCGAATGAAGGTTGAATACAAAGTCAAATAATTGAATTGAGTCCCACGGTAATAACTCAGATTTTTAATTATTCTTTAAAATTTATACTAAAATCATTTAATCATAGTTGGGAAAATATATGATTTATTTTATATTATTATGTGTAATTTTGTAAAATAATGTAATTAGTAAGAAATTTAAGGGTTAAAGTGTAAATATAAAAAGGCACATTGCCACCTTCAATTTGGAGAAAAACATCTGGCTTGCCTACCTCTATATAGGTGTAATGACTCACGGTTGGATAAGCTTGGACCGAGGGAGAAAATTTGGAATAGCCTATATTTGGAAAGCCACGTGTATAGGCTGTGGTTTAGGACTCATGGTTTGCCTCCTTATAAATAGGGAAGAGATGTTCGAGCTAAAGAAAAACAAAAAGAAAGGGAAAGAAAATATTAAAAGTCAAAAAGGTTTTTGATAGTGAAAAAAAAGAATGAGGTATTAATTTTAAGGTGAGTTATATTATACTTTGAGTCACTATAATATATTTTACGTATGTTTTGAGTTACCATAATTTATTTTACACAATTTGTATTTTATAAATTATATTAGCATTTTTAATTTATGAACCTTATTTTATATATTAAGGAAAACCCATGGATATAACTGTTTATTAAAATATGTTTTGAGTAATTATTTTATAAGTACCACCATGGAGGTCTCATGTCTTGGGAGATTTAAATAACCATTGGCCCTCTGATTAGTCATGTTGTGACCCTCTGTCTGTCATGGATTTACTGACACTCTGATTTCTGGTGTAAAGTAAAGTGCTATACGGAGTTAAGTGCTACACTATTGTGGGAGCTACCTCTAGAGTTCGTGCGAGCCACCTCTTGAGTCCATATATCTATTATATTCTGTATCGTGGTTATGATTTCTGGTGTGGGGCAAAGTGTTGTACGGGGCTAAATGTTACACTATGGTGGGAGCCACCTCTAGAGTTCATACGAGCCACCTCTTGAGTCCATACATCTGTTCTGTTCCGTTCAATACTGTGGTTATCATTATTCTGTTTATATGATTTATGTATTATATGTCAAATGATTTCCCTATTATATACTCTGTATTTTAATATCAAGTTTTGTTTAGCCAATAATATCCATGGTGAATTTTATACTCTTATGCTCTTAATATAATATTTTGCACTCTGCCATGTGCTTATAGTTGTTTACCAATTTTCAGAAAACAATGCAATTCAGAAATAACTTTTGGAGAGTCTTAGACGCAGGGCTGAAAAATAGACACACATAGCACTTTTATAGTAGTTACAATTTCTAATTTTCATATGTAAATATCGATCTTTTTTGTCAATAAATTTTGTTATAAAAATATAAGCTCTAATGATTATTTTAGTACACTCACTTAAATATTTTTCCGCTCGCATTTAGTAATTGTTTAAGAATTGATGGAGGTAACTTCAGTTACTGGCCATCACGATACTTAATCCTTGGGTACGGAGAGCAGGTTATGACACCAACAATACATTTGCTTTGTTTCTTATTTTGAATTTGAACCATTATCCAAAATCATTTTAAGCACATTAATCATTGTTGAAAGCATACTAATCAAGCTGACTAAAGTACCATAGTGTGAACCCCAACGTGTATCACTAGCATGTTTAAGATTAGTTTCTTGATTTAAGCCTTGCCCACTAGATAGCTCTCCAGTATTAAATGCCTCAACAACTTTTGTAGCTTGCTTCTCCCTAATAATATCTCAGCGTTTACATGATGCTCCAATAACATTCACCGCATTAGAAACCAAAGTAAAAAGTAAAGCAATTTGATTATGATTCATTGCCACGACTACAAGTGCCAATTGCAATTGATAAGCAAAACAATGAACATAATATGCACGACGATTCTTTTTTGATATAAGTGTTTTAAGACCATTTAATTCACCTTACATATTACTAGCCGCATCATATTCGTGACTCCGTAATCTGGAAATACTCAATTCAAGTTTGGAGAATAAGTTTTCCACAACTTGTTTGAGTGAGAGAGCATTCATATTAACAACATGTTCAATACCCAAAAAGTGCTCAATCACTTGGCATTTTTTGTCAACATATCGTATTACAATTGCCATTTGCTTATTGATTGATATGTCACGAGCTTCATCAATCAAAATAGAAAAAAGTGCATCACCAAGATCTCTAATAATCACATTGATAGTTTCAAATGCAGCCACATTTATAATGTTTTTTTGAATATCATGAGATGTCAACTTGAGATTTTGTGGAGCATTGCTCAATGCAATAACTTTGACATCTTCATTACAATCAACAAGAAACTTGAAAAGTTTAAGAAAATTTCCTTAGTTACTTGAATTTTCAAATTCATCATGCCCACGAAACGCAAGTCCTTATCTTAGAAGAAATTTGACGCAATCAACCGGTGCATTCAAACGGGTTCGATACTCAATTCGAGCTTGGTCAATTTGTTTGAAGAAAATCGTTTGAATATGTTGGTTTTCGTTTAAAAAGTCTTGACATTTACTCGAAGCTTGATTATGAGCACTATTGGGACCTTCAACATGAGTTTGCATTTTTTTTCCTTCCAATTTGAGAAACCCTCACCAACAAAAGAATCACCATCAGCTTGATCTCTAATCTCGGGTTTGAAAAGATAACAACATAAACAAAATGCTACATCTTTTACTACGCTATACTCCAACCAATTAGGAAATTCACTAAACCAAGTCTGATTAAATCGCCAAAGTTTTTGTCCAAATGATTTTTGTAGAAAATTATGATCACGAGGTTGACAAGGACCTTTTTGTAGATATGCCCTACGAATTTGATCTCGATCATTAGCATTATAGTCCATAATTCGAGGCTGTAGTCCTGGATTTGCAGAAAGGTCCATTAAGTTGATTTCAATGGGACTTTGTTTTGCAGAAGAATAATTATCATTTTCTTCTTGAGGAAGAGATGATTCCAACTTTAATTTTTTTTTGAAATATTTTTCCATGACTGTTTGAAAAAACTAAAAATCAAAATAAAAATTCATCATCGAAATCACAAGCCCCCACAAATCAAAATCTCCAATTTTAATAGAAATCAAAAAATTTAACTTTAGAACAAATCACAACAAATCAAAATTTCTAATTTTAGCACAAATTATAACAAATCAAAATCCCTAATTCAAATATTAATCACTGCAAATTAATATTTTTAATTTTAGCACAAACAACAACAAATCAAAATCCATAATTTTAATATAAATCACTACCAATTAAGATTCATAATTTTAGCATATCAAAATATCTTATTTTAACATAAATAATAACTAATAATTTTTTTTTACAAATCAAAACTTAACAAATGATTATAAATTAATACTCATAATTTTTATTTAAAAATAAAAAATAATAAATAAAGTTACCTGTAAACAATAAAGAGAGGATACCAATGTTGTAGTGTGGTCCAAATCTGTGTTGTGTGATCCTAATTTGATAAATCGCGAGTCGATAAATTGTAAAGTAACAAAGGGAGATAAAGAAAATGCGAAGACACTTAACAATTACTATTAATAAATAAAAAAATAAAGAATTTTATTAACTTTTAGGGTTTTAGCCTTACCGTAATTGGAGTTGTGTGCACTTACCCCCGAAAAAGTTGTGTGTCAGTGTTTGGTTGGGATTGTGATTCAAAAAAAAAAAAAAAAAGTGGGTGCGTGTGGTGTGTCAGTGTGTTTGGGTAAATTGGGAGGGCTATGTATTATGTATAGGAGGGGCACTCTATCTAAGCAAGATTGTTTGAGTGAGAGAGCATTCATATTAACAACATGTTCAATACCCAAAAAGTGCTCAATCACTTGGCATTTTTTGTCAACATATCGTATTACAATTGCCATTTGCTTATTGATTGATATGTCACGAGCTTCATCAATCAAAATAGAAAAAAGTGCATCACCAAGATCTCTAATAATCACATTGATAGTTTCAAATGCAGCCACATTTACAATGTCTTTTTGAATATCATGAGATGTCAACTTGAGATTTTGTGGAGCATTGCTCAATGCAATAACTTTGACATCTTCATTATAATCAACAAGAAACTTGAAAAGTTCAAGAAAATTTCCTTAATTACTTAAATTTTTAAATTCATCATGCCCACGAAACGCAAGTCCTTATCTTAGAAGAAATTTGACGCAATCAACCGATGCATTCAAACGGGTTCGATACTCAATTCGAGCTTGATCAATTTGTTTGAAGAAAATCGTTTTAATATGTTGGTTTTCGTTTAAAAAGTCGTGACATTTACTTGAAGCTTGATTATGAGCACTATTGGGACCTCCAACATGAGTTTGCATTTTTTTTCCCTTCCAATTTGAGAAACCCTCACCAACAAAAGAATCACTATCAACTTGATCTCCAATCTCGGGTTTGAAAAGATAACAACACAAACAAAATGTTACATCTTTTACTACGCTATACTCCAACCAATTAGGAAATTCACTAAACCAAGTCTGATTAAATCGCCGAAGTTTTTGTCCAAATGATTTTTGTAGAAAATTATGATCACGAGGTTGACAAGGACCTTTTTGTAGATATGCCCTACAAATTTGATCTCGATCATTAGCATTATAGTCCATAATTCGAGGCTATAGTCCTGGATTTGCAGAAAGGTCCATTAAGTTGATTTCTATGTGACTTTGTTTTGAGGAAGAGATGATTCCAACTTTAATTTTTTTTTGAAATATTTTTCCATGACTGTTTGAAAAAACTAAAAATAAAAATAAAAATTCATCATCGAAATCACAAACCCCCATAAATCAAAATCTCCAATTTTAATAGAAATCAAAAAATTTAACTTTAGAACAAATCACAACAAATCAAAATTTCTAATTTTAGCACAAATTATAACAAATCAAAATCCCTAATTTAACTATTAATCACTGCAAATTAATATTTTTAATTTTAGCACAAACAACAACAAATCAAAATCTATAATTTTAATATAAATCACTACCAATTAAGATTCATAATTTTAGCATATCAAAATATCTTATTTTAACATAAATAATAACTAATATTTTTTTTTTTACAAATCAAAACTTAACAAATGACTATAAATTAATACTCATAATTTTTATTTAAAAATAAAAAATAATAAATAAAGTTACTTGTAAACAATAAAGAGAGGATACCAATGTTGTAGTGTGGTCCAAATCTGTGTTGTGTGATTTTAATTTGGTAAATCACGAGTCGATAAATTGCAAAGCAACAAAGGGAGACAAAGAAAATGCGAAGACACTTAACAATTACTATTAATAAATAAAAAAATAAAGAATTTTATAAACTTTTAGGGTTTTAGCCTTACTGTAATTGGATTGTGTGCACTCACCCAAAAAAAAGTTGTGTGTCAGTGTTTGGTTGGGATTGGGACTACAAAGCAATGTTGTTCAAAATTGTGAAATGTACGTGTGGTGTGTCAGTGTGTTTGGATAAATTGGAAGGGCGATGTATTATGTATAGGAGGGGCACGGTGTGTGACCAAGACCCCACCAAAAAAAATTTTTTTTTTTTGAAAAATCAGGAGGCACGTGACCCCCTCCGCCCCTATGTCCCTCCGCCACTAAATATGAGTGCCATAGTACATAATAATCTTATTTAGGAAGATTATGAATAATTGTATTTTTGTTTTCTCACATATCATATAAAAAGAGATAAATAAATAAATCTAATATGTTAGCAAAACAACCCAAAAAACTCATAAAAACTTCTTCATGTATTATTGACGTTAAGTATAATTCTTCACTAACATCAAATTCAAGACCTTTTGCACAAATGAAGTTTGACAAAGAAGCACAAATGAAATAATAAAAAACAAATGCAATAGATTTTAGTTACATATAATCATTTTAGTTAAGGTTGCTAGCATATTTTGGAATGCCTTTTTTCAGCCACTTTGTCATTTAAAAAAATAATAATTTTGAGACTTACAATTTAAATCACTAACTTAATCAATTTTCAAAAGATTAATGTTACATACGCAAAATAAAAAATATTATCTTTTTCATAACAAGCCACATGAATACTTAGTTCTAATATAGCTATCGATACGACATTTTCATAATGATAATATTTTTAAAATAAATAATTTTGCACAAAACTTATAGGGGACAATTCCAAAAGAAAATTGTCATTCACAAAAGTTTAGCAATCTCAATAATATAATAAAAATAAAATAAAACAAGACATGGGAGAGTGAACAGAGGAGCAACAAAGATGGATCAAGCAACACAATGGCCGGAGGGAAGATACTCTTGCCTAGTATTGGTGTTTCTATGTGTAGAGCCAAAATGAAAATAGACAAAATACCTCTTCTCATACCGAGCCTGTTGGAGGTACAAAAATAAAACTTCACTAGCTAAATGTCTCACCCATTCTAGCTTGTGTTGGAATCGCTCTTAAATGAGTTGCTTATATATACATATATTTTGGAATTTTGTACCAAATCATTTACCATTACTTTCACTTACAACTTATGCAGTAAAATTAAAATAATTTAAATAAGCTGAAAAAAATCAATTAGGCGGAGAAATGCTTTTAGATTTTGCATACAAATAATCATTATTTCTTGAGATGCAACAAATAGGCACTTAATGAGTTTGGTGGCATATGCATACACAGTATGAATACAAGGGTGGTGTTTGGTTTTGGAGTTTATTTATTTGTTAGTTTGAAGCCAATCAAGAATGCCCTTCTCTGATTCAGAGAGCTCCTCTTTCTTCCCCTTCAGAGACCCTTCTACAAATCCAAAGTAATCCTTGTAATTTCTCTTGTAGTAACTATCCAATCTCTGTTATGGAAGAACAGCACACAATTAGAGAATGCAAACAAGAGGATAAAAGCTGTCTTACAAAGAAAAAATAGACTTACTCAAATTCTTTTAGCATAGTGCTATGAGGAACATTATCACCAATAAAATGAGCCGTTAATTAGGATACATAGCCATCAGTGCTATATTAATATTAATGTTTAGTATAAAGATATCTGCACAGAACTGGTACACACAAAAATACTTAAAATATGTGTATGGTCCAAATTTAACTTATGTATTACACAATGCCTTTCCTTGGGATATTTTTGTGCTTGAGTTTTGTATACCTAGCATTGTTCTCATGTTTAACAACAATAGATTCCAAAGAATCAACATAGACTAGTATGGTGCTCTCTGATTAATATGAATGGTAATCACAGGATGGATGGAGTTGATCTAATCTACCTTTGTTGGCTGAGTAAGAGAGGATGTTAGTCCCATCCATTCCTTTTCTTTGATCGCATTAATTAGGAGCACCACGTGCACATACCACAATTTCTGAGACTACTGAATAATTCTGTGTTCTAAGAAATTCTTAAGCAGCCAAAGAGTAGTGCTATACCTCCTTATCATTCTTGGCCTTGTTTTCTTCTGATTTCTTCAGATACTCTGATAAAGTTTCTCAATGGGTTAGATATCCGTTTTAAAAACAGCGTAAATTATAAAAAGAAAAAAAGTATCAAATGGGTCTTATGAAGTGAGAAAAGCAGATGATAACATCATTACAAGTTGTATTACGCTCACGAAATTAATTTCACAGAAGATAGATGTGAGATAAAATATTCACATTTATAATTGAGAATATTTTGTCACATATCTGTATATTCTGTGTCCGGTACTTTCTGTGTATATGTATACTTTTTCAATCATTACTCTGAAGAAGATCAGTCTTGGAGTCATTGACTTGGGAAGAAGCTGCAACCACAGTTGATAGGAGGATGCCTCTCCTTCCCATCTCTGTCATTAACCTTCTCCCTCTTGTCGTTGTTGTTGTTGTTCTTGCTCTTCCATCATCTCTTCTTTCAGCTGGTGATACATTGGATGAAGCAAATTTGCTTACAGTTGCTCTTACTGCCATTTGCATTCTCTCTCTCTCTCTCTCTCTCTCTCTCAGCCACCAGTTTATGATGATGATAATATTCTCTTGGTCCTTTTTTTCCTTGCAAGTCAATTTTAAGATCTGATGGCAAGGAATAAATATCACTTTCCTTTTTTATTTAAGCAAGATTTGAATCATAAGAAAAATATCATAAAATGCATCATGAAAAATTTTCATCTATTGATTAGTGTTTGGTATTTTATTGTATGTGTAATTCAAAAATAGAGAATCTCTCATGATTGTCTTCGTGAAAAAATATTATAATCCTTAACATTACTCGTTTGATTTTCACACCTCCCTCAGAAGTCTCATAAAAAAGCCCAGCGCCCTGGCCCAACTCTAAACAAGAAGGACCGAGCTTGGGTCTGTAGTAGGCTCATAATAAACAGTTCCGATTCGTAGCTCGAATTCAGAGGCTCGAATTTGGCTCGACACCAAAACGACGTCGTTTTGGTGTTTTTTTTTTTCCCCCTACGTTTTTGTTGCAAAAGGAAGAAGAAAAAGAATGGAGAAGAAGAAGAAGGGTGGGTTTGAAATCAAACCCAAACCCACACACACACACACACACACACAGAGCAGCAAAATCACCCACACACACAGAGCAGCAAACCAGCACGAGCCTCGTCGGCGTTCGTCGTCCGCCGTCGTCCTCCGTCGTCGGCAGAACTAGCACGATTGCATCGTCGGCAGAACCAGCACGATCGTCTGCCGTCGTCCTCCGTCGTCGGCAGAGCCAGCACGAGCCTTCTCTTCCTTTTCTTTTCTTCCTCTTCTCTCTTCCCTCTTCCTCTTTTCTCCTCTCTCTCTTCTCTTTCTCTCAGTATTCGAATGAAAAAGAAAAAAAAAATCGAATTCGAGCCAAAATCGGGCCACTAATTTCGAGCTACCAGCCATTTTTCTATAACAAAACTGTAGCCCAAAGCTCAGCCATTAGCCCTTCTGATATGCACAGAATAATAGATTGTAGCAGGACCCCTAAGCCCATATACACAAAATAATACATTTTTTCTTTCTTTTTTTTCTTTTCTTTGTTTGTGTGTGTTTGTAATTTTAGTGAGAAAATAAAATTAAAATTGAAAAACTAATGCCGTGTTTGGTTGAGGAATTTGAGGAGGGATTTGGAAAGGAAAATGAAAAAAATAGGTGAAATATGAATAAAACACACCTACATTTCACCTAGTTTCATATGCTTTTTCTCTTTCTTTTTTCAAATTCCTCTCTAAATCCCTCCACCAAACACAGCATAAGTGAATAAAATAGAACTACGAAATTGGTTACTATATTTTATGAGTATAAAGATAAATGCAATTTAATAAAATAACCATGATGAATATAATTTTTATATTTCGACAAATAAAGATTTTTGTTGTATTCACTGTGCAATTCTGATTATTGTGATGCATATCAAAATTTTGTATTATAAAACTTCATTTTTCTAATAAAATTGGAGAAAACTAAAAATAGTCCGAATTCAAGCATGCGTTAGGCCCAAATTATGTCCATGGACCCAATTCGGCCCAAAGCACACAAGACCATGTATTTTAAGGCCATTGGTAAGGCCTCGAATATAAGAATTTAGGATGGGCTACCCAGTCCGTTGACCAAACAAAGCTCATGGCCTACGCTTGAGCTAGGGCCGGGGCCTTCAATTTTACGGTCTAGAGACCATTTTTTTTTTTTTTCAAGGAAGGGTTTAGAGTCAGACAGGCACAGTCCAGCGTCTAAGCAGGCACAGTCAGTCCAGTGTCCAGGCTTACTCCCTTACGGTGAAGAAGGGCCTGGCTTGTTTTCACTTCGAGATTGGATTAGAGCGTGCTCTTAAGTTTGTGAAGGTCCATCGCGGATCATGTTTCGATAATCTGAATCGTTGAATATATAAAATTTGACGAGTACTTTATTTTTGTAAAAAATTACTTTGATCGGATATCGACAACTACTTGATCGGATCAAATTTCTGTCAACAATAAATATAATTTTCAAAATCAATTATTGATAAAAATTTAATCCGATCAAGTAATTATCAACATCTGATCAATGTGATTTTTTATGAATAAAATACTCAACAAGCTCTACACATTAAACGATTCGAATTATCGAAATAGAATCCGTAATGAACCTCCAATAAAAAATGTATTTTTTTTTTTCTTCCCTAAATGATCCCACTCATCCAAACATAACATACGGTCATGCTGGGTCATGCTTCCTGTTTGGTGTAATTTTTTGTAAATTGAAAATTGATAATAAAGAAACAAAAGTTAAAATTAATCAACTTTTTTTCAACTTGTTTAAATTATTTTTGCCCCAAACTGTAAGCACAAGCTGTAGACATAAACTCCCAAACAAACAAATGAGTAAATAAATAAAACTACAAACAGCATCTATAAGAAATTCTCATATTCCTATTACATTTTGAATGACATTCTCATCCATAGATGGTACATAATTTCAAGAATTATAGAATCTTTCAATCTGAAGTCCTTTATTCACCATTGAAAGCTTCAGGAATTTATGTGGAAACTTTTCAAGTATGCCCAAATATCAGTTTGCCCATATATCAATTTGGGTGTTTCCAAGTATTAAGCAACAAACAATTTTTTGCATAAAATCACTCAAGCAAGCGTTTATGCTTACACCAAGCAATAGCAATCACGTACAAAAATATGCTGCCAGTAGCACTGCCACCGACAGTCCACAGGAACTCTTGCATCCCAGCTTTTTCTTCATTAAAGAGATCGATTTTGATGTTCATGCCGAAAATTCCAGCCACAACGACAAATGCACTCACCACAAGGGTTGCCGTTGTCAACATGACCCCCATCTGAAGGAGATGATTCTGTTTGTCATCTAGCATAATGTTAATGTAGTCCTCTGTGTCGTCGACGTACTCCCTCAGCTTCCAAGAGCACCCCCCCCCCCAAAATTTTGTATCCCCCAAAAAAAAAAAAAAGAAAGGAAAATGATTATATAATATGCACAGTGTATACTGACAAGTTTCAGAAATTGAAATCATGGGTTATGTTGGATTTGGTTGAGGTTAATTGTTATCATTAGTATTTTCAATGAATTGATATTAATTTGTTAAGTTTAATTGTTTATTCTGAATGTCATCTACTCATAATTTTCAAACTTATGTTGTTAAAATTGTAGTTATAAAACAATGTTAATATTATCAATTAAATAAAAAGATAAATTGAAAAATTATTGCAGGATTTTGAGTTTTGTGAATTTTATAGAATGCCAAGACCAATAAGCAATTCTTAATAAGAACACACAAATTGATTGTAAACAAACTTAAAAGTGTTGAGTTGCATACCGTGGATAGTTTATTCAATGTACCATCAATCTGAACGAAGTACGCTTCCAGGAGCATTTCAAGTTCCTCCACATCAAGATTCTTGCTTATGGCACTACGGGTGGTACTCGTGTGGGTCCCATGGCTGTCTCTGCCAATTACATTATATTGAGGGTTATCAATATTTTGAAGATTGCCTTCATAACTGGTGGATTCCCTCATTTCCTTCCAATGAAAATTTCAGCAGGAATCCTGATGTATGACAAGAAACATATTTCATTTGCATGTAATCATGATGTAAAGACTGGGGAACGAAGCAATATGTGGGATATTACATGCCTGTCATCCATGTCCGATCGAAGAACATCATCTTCCATACCATCTTGCTCGTTCATAGACGATTGAGAAGAATCTTCAAGGTGTTGTTGCACCATTTTCTCAGTCAGATACATCTCTGCCATATCTTCATCATCATCTAATAAGTGTTCTAATTCGTCCCTTACCTGAGAAAGAAATGCATGCATCTCAATCGGAAAAAAACAAGAAAGGAACAGATTCAACAGGAGAACCTAGGAAATAAAGATGGCCATGAGATCATGGAGTAATACCAGCTTCCGGTAAGAAAAATTGTGTCGATAAAATATAAAAAATGGACTGAGAGAACCCATATTTGACGAATCCATATACCCATAAGCTTTCAGTACATAACAAATTCAGGCTAGTAACACCAGCGATTGAGCATTGGCCCTTGTGAAAGCTTCTCCTCAGTATGTTAAGTTAACTTCAGCCCAAATCAAACAGAATTGACAAATTTCTCAGGATGGTCCAGTGGCTACTACACGGATTTCCAGACAGAACTCTTGGCATTTCCATTGCATGAGTTCAACAAGTTCAGCTTACAGAACAGTTAATTTCACGTATGCATTCATGTATCCATCTAGTTTCAATGTAAAAAGCTATTGTAAAGCAGACATCACATAAATAAAACATATTCTTGGACATTAAGTAAGACGTCGTATAAATTGGCACAGCCCTATCCTTCATGAAGGCATTATCTTGATATAGTCAAGTCCTTTATTGTCAAAACAGCTTCAGAATTCAGAATTAATAGAAAATCAGTTCTTCCAAAATCTAAATATAAGCAGCTATTACTAATAAAACTAAAAGACACTAGTCCCAATTGCAGGAATACTAAACAACAATATATGTTATGAGGGTGCAAAACAAGTTCCACTCTTTAAACACCATACTCAACATACGCAACTCACTTTATTCAACCCAACAAACCTGGGTCTCAATTACTCAGGGTCAGCTATAATTATAAAGTGTGACTACAAGTTTTATGTGTAAGAATGTGTCCTCCTTTTTCCTTATAAGATTAGGAATTAGGGTCCTATTAGACTTGTGATGTATTCATGTAGGATTAGGAATTAGGGTTCTATATAACTGATGTATTCTTTGTCAATCTAACATACAGTTTCATTTAGAAAACTTACATGGTATCAGAGCCACCACCGGAACCCTAGAAGCCATTTGCTATTTTCTGACTCTGAGTTGGCTCTGGTTCGTAGTTCTTCCCTTTGTTTCGTGATTGGTTCTCCCTTGCGACTGGGTCTCTATCATCTTTGATCCGTGGCTCAGTGTGAGTCATTGGTCCAGTGTGATCTGTAGGTCCCTAGCGCATCTCTCTACATCGCTGGATTGTGGTTTTCCAATTCGCTGTCCCTATCTGTCTCGCTGGTTCTCCTTAGGGCTTCAACATCGTCGCAATCAAGCCCTCTGGTTATCT